TCGTTTTGTAAGTGAAATGTCAATCTATAAAGTACTCTGTCCTCTTTACAGATATATATATATATATATATATAACAGCAGAGGTTGAACGGATCCACATTTTTTACATGTTTGGTCTGAGCTGCCCTTCAGGCAGACAAAAGTTTACGCTTGTTAGCCTTCTTACAAAACACTCTGAGGTCAGCGGCGGATCGAATTAACAAGTCTAATTTTCGTGGCAGGTGTGGGACGGTCAATTATCACACCGTTTTAGTTATATTATTAAAGGCTTTCCGGGGTAATGACCGCCCACACCTTCCCTTGTCTCATGGTGTAGGATTCTACGGGGATAGGGTTGTCATGAGTTTCAACATCAACAAGCGCAACTTTCATCTGGCCAGTGTATTCTTTAAGGGTATGGCGGGGAATCTTGCACTTTGACCAAAGAGACCAGTTTGTTGTTTGAAAGGCAAGCGTCAGCCTGCTCTAGCACGGTCAAGCCACTCAGAGTGCATGGAGGCAAGAGCTACAGTCCAAGCTCAAACTTGCAAAAGATGCTGACACCTCCCTTGACAATGTTGTGCTTTGCTTGCAGCTGGTTGATTGGAGGGAGATGGCATGCAGGGGTTTTTCAAGGGGTGCAAAGGGATGCAAAGGGAGATGTGCCAAGCTTGACGTGAAGTTCAACCCACATTCCGAAAAGAGGACTCTTGGAACGACCTGGTCTACTTCGAGTATCCGCATCGTAAGGCGACTCACGGCCGAGTCTCGTCCAGTTCGAAGGGTTCTTCGCTTCACCCGGAGTCGATCTCCCGTCCGTTGGATCTCAGAGATCCCGTTTGCGTTTGCTGAGTGGATTAAAACACGATGGGAAGGGAGATCATCCCTCCAGTCGTCCCTCATCAGAAGGTATGACTGTCCCACCTTCTTACGTACTTGGAGCCCTGGGGAATAGGTGTACAGTGCTTTCCACTAAACACCCCCAAGATATATGGGGGATCCTTCAAGATTGGCTCAAAATGCAAGTGAGCAAAACCTCCAGATACGATGTCAATGATCGTGCAAAACCTCCAGATACACACTGTATCACACTGTCCCTTCCACTGCCTTCCACTGCAAGTGAGCTAGTCCAGATACTGTCCCTTCCACTGCCTTCCTCTGGTCTTTCGTCCGGCCACGACCGTTCCTCCGTGCCAAGGACGTGCCGTTGGCCGTCGAGGCGTCCCGCTGCTCCCAGCTGCTGCGAGCCAAGCTAGGTCGGAGCGACGCGACGACCGGTGGTGGACGAGAAACGGCTTCACGGACGAGGGCCAGGGCTGAGACGTAGATATATATATATATATGAAAGGAGCCATTTCTGCTAAGTAGAGTGAGACTGAGACAAGAATCAAGAGGAAGTAAGCTAAGTAAGAGTACATTCTTTGTGGTCGTTGGTTCTACTGTCGCACTGCCACCCTCTTACACCTAATGTTCAGATGATTTGTACACTGGATCCTAGAGAATGTTAATCCCACAAGGGAGGTTAAAGGGAAACGCTTTTAAGGGAAACGCTAAGCCAACAGGTGGGTGGCTTTTGGAGCTAAATATGATGTTGTTTCCCTCGACGAGAAGATACACTGTGAGGCAGTCTTGTTTGACAGATCTCCTCGAAAGTAAGGTATCCCACAAAAACATGTTTGCCAAATGATTGAAACTTGCAATCTCACCCAAAATGGACGTGCGTTGTGTGGGTGAAGAGACGATTGAAATCATGGACTAAATGGGCATATGGACTATGGTTAGCTCTATTCCTTGAGATGACACGTGTGGGAGCGCCACGGTTTGGTGGCGAAGGCTCACGGTTTTGGATAAGCAGACGTGGAAAAACAAAGAGTGGCTCACCAAATCATGGTGAGTGGACAAACACTTGATGTGTCCAATTCTTAGTGGGTTTGGGTGGGTAATGAGATGACATGGAGGTTTGGATATGTATGCATCGAGGCTCTTTTGTCGCACAAGGAAGTGGCTAAGGATTTGGTTGAATATTTCTTCTGCATGTTCAGGGCACGTCAGAGTCAGCCCAATTGGAAATGGGCATGAGCTGATGGCCTAGTCCTCGGATTCCGCACAGGTTCCGGCAAGCAACAGATCTGGCAGTCACCGGCAACCAGACAGCCACGTAGTGGCTTCAGTCAAGCAGAAACCCAAAGCGATCAAGAACATCCAGAAGCAGTGACCAAATCGGATGTTTATATAATACCATATATCCCTGTATATATGGGAGTTGATCGAAAACCCCGTGTAAGGAGTTTTATATAAAACAGCCTTTCAGATGTTGTTAGAACCATCCGCGAAAGATTCGCGATGAGGTTCGCGAAAGTATCTTTTTTTTCCGCGAAAGATTTATCGAAGGTCACCGCTTTCATTGTTTTCCTTTCTACCGGACTGACAAAGAATAGAACCGCAAGGCAATCCTCCGGCAGAGCCAGTGGGCGGAAGTGTCCCCATATGTCACAGACTAACGAACTGAAGCCTCAACATTTCCGTGCCGAGCCCTGGCAGTGCGTAAAGGATTCTCCGATTCCTGTCCCCACTGTCACAGGCTAGCAATCTGGGTAGGCACAGCCCTGACAGTGAGGCAACGACCTGCAGCTGCTCTGACGGGCTGCGCAGATGTTTGCAAATGTTACGGCTTCCCGGGGAAAGCGCCAGTGAAATTTCGCGAAAGATCCGCGAAAGTTTCGCGAATGTGCCGCTAAAGTCTAGGTTCCCAGCTTGAGGCCCCCCCAACATTCCCCAAGCTGTATCACCCTGTGTTGGTAGCTGGCGCGAGGATTGGGTTGAGTTGTGCCTGACTCTATTTGGCACAATTGTCGAACAGATGCTGCAAGTGACCCTGAGTAGCTGTGGAAACGTTCAACCATCTACTGGGGTCATGCTGCAAGATGTCTCTACCTATTTTGTGATACTATGACATGTTCCGGCTCATGTTGGCTAGACATGGTTGTAGGACCATGCTTCGCGATGAGGCCGCGAAAGATCCGCGAAAGATATTTATTTTTCCGCGATGAATGGCCATTCCAGGATGAAAGAATATTGATCAACCACCATATATATATATATGTTTTCCTTATACAGTACACCTCCATAATTGATGTTCACAATGTTTTCACTGCTTGGGTCTCAGACCCAGCCTTTCTTCTTCGCGCAAAACCGCCGCTTACTGCGCGCCTGCGCGCGGAACCCTCGCAGGCGCAGCGCCATCCTTGGGTCCAGTCATTGATATGGGGGCTCCGTCTATGGTCACTGCTTGGCTTTTGCGCGAGAAGAAGGCATGGAATGACTGCAAAATAAGATCATATGTGTAAACAAGGTGGTTGGTTGGTTGGTTGGTTGGTTTATAATGTTGATGAGATTCGTCGATAGAGGGCTGGCAATTGCAAGGGGTGCCTGTAGGAAACTGGAAGAAGAAAGTCCATACCGCGCAATAACGAACCCTTCTGGAAAGCATGATTGGGGCACAAACAAAGCACTGAGACAAGCACTTAGGTGTGGCTCGAAGCCAAGACTCAAGCGCGCACAAACACAAGTTTTGTGATGTTGCTCTCTGCCAATGGATTTTGGGGGGCACATGAGGGGTACCGTATTTGCGAGCCATCCCATGTCAAAGCCGTGGAGCTTGGGGAGGATGAGCTTCTTTGTGTCTTATTTTTACGCCCTGATGGTTGAAGCCTTCAACAGGACCAGTTCAAGGCCAGACTAACACTTGAAGTGAGGATTCCTGGCCGAGCCTGAGAGGTAATCCCGTCCAAAGGACGTGCATGTGCATGTTTGTTTCTCCCCTTATCTCCCTATGACTTGTTTCGCATGCCTTTCACAGCATGCCCCCCTCCTGCCCGGTCACCAGCGGCGCGACGCCCGACGCGTCGCCCGGCTCAAGAAGGTGGTGATCTCTGTGGGCGAAGAAGGCCGCTCGCGGCCCGCGGACGCGGCGACGCGGCCGCGGACGCGGCGATGGATTTGGGTTACCCAGCCCTTGGAGCTTTTGCTCACCACGCTGCGGGAGCTTTTTGGTGACAGAGAAGAGTCCAGGTCGGGGGGCGGGGGGCGGTCATGGTTGAGGGAAAGGGAGAAGAATCACATAGGGAGGAATGGACTCTCATGGTTGAGAGATCTTGGGAAGGACATGGAATGACTAGTCTCATTCTTATTTTGATACAAGCCCCCTTTGGCTTCCTTGGTGGTCAGGCATAGTAAGTTCATTGGTTAGATTAGGCAGGTTGCCTTTCACTTTGACCCACCCACACACGGTATGTGATCAACTAGTGAGACCCAGCATCAACTATAGTGAGACCCAGCCTACCATCGAGCTCCAAGAAAGACCGGCACCCCTAAGACAGGCGGTCTTACTGAGCCTGTCTGAGCCGCCTGTTTTGCTCTGGCGGCTCTGGCTTCTTCACGGTCGAGAGACGGCCGTCTTCCGAGGATACGAGAACCACCGAGTCTCCTCTTCATCGAAGCGGACCAGCTACTGCAACGCGGAGCCCTGCAGCGGACCAGCCATACCCTCCGCTCGGTCCGTGCGCCCGACCGAGCGCCCGACGGAGCGCAGAGTCCGGGGAGTCGTTGCTTCAATCCGTGTGTAGGTCGAGCACACCTGGAGAGGTGGGCAACGGGCAAGATGTTTTGGGCTTTCATTTGACCCTCTTCAGGTTCGAGGTATTTGATGGTGTTTGCGGTTTGGCGATCTCAGCCGAATAAATTCGTTGTTTGTGGGCTTGTGGATATGGGCCGTATTGTGGCTCAAAATCCAACTTCTTTGTGTGTGTGTGTGTGTGTGAAGAACGAATAGATTCCCGTGATACGATCCTTCATCCTTCTTTATGTGGGGCTATATATATATATATGGTGGGCCCCCCCCTCCTGTACCTACTCTTTTTGTACTTTTACTGGTATTTGCATCCGTTTATCACTAACTTAGATAAGTATTACATACATTATATATATATACGAGCATTTTGCACAAGTCATCTTGGCATGTTCACATCTTCTGGGAAACAAAATGGCCCTCACATCCTCTAGGTTATAGTTCTACTGTACTACAGTAAGATAAGGATATGCTACCACTACGTCTGGGGAGGTCCTAGGAGGTCCTAGGACCTGCCCAGAACCAAGAACCAAGATTGCAGCAAAAATGTTTGGATAATCTTGGTTCTTGGTTATTGGTTCTGGGCCTTCCCCTTATCAAGAACCAAGATTGTCCAAAGAGTCTTGCTGCAATCTTGGTTCTTGGTTCTTGGCAGGTCCTAGGACCTCCTAGGACCTTCCTTATTAAGTCCTAGGACTTCCTATGACCTGTTGGTGCCAAGATCCTCTGGAAACGTCAGACCTTGTCATTCTAATGTCACAAGATCCGCAAGAAAAACACATGTCTCATAAATATGATTTGGGTGGATCATGTTTAGCCTCAAAGTGTGCATTCCGAGTATCCCCTCAACTCGTCTTGCCTTGCGGCATCGCTTCTTTTCAGTGGTCGGACGTGTCCAACTACAGGGAAACCATGCAACCTTGACTTTGAACTTCCCAGAGGCCACGCCCGAACCTAAAGTCAGAATGTCCAGGCCTACTACAGAGACTTCAGGCCAGGAGCGATGCCGGCACCATCTATGATCATCCGACACGTCAGCCTCTGACAAAGAAATTGCTCACCAATGCTATGGGCAACGTACAACGTATGCTACTGCTACCAGGTGGTGCCAATGGCGGCTGGAGCCAGGAAGCGGAAGAACGCCTAGAAAAGCTTCTCGCCAAGCCTCTTGTCTCAAAGGTGTCCAAGCCATTGCCCATTGAGGATGCAGCACCCTTGGCCATCGAGGATGGCCAGCAGGATGCTGACGATTCTTCTTCTGAGTCATCTTCTGACTCTGACTCTAGCTCAGATCAGTGTATGACGACCGAAGAAGTCGAGAAGGCTATGAAGTACAAGGGTGACCAGAGTGCAAAGGCCAAAGTGGAATTCGAAAGCATCTTCTTTGCTCTCCACCATTGCCAAGAAGAACTGGCAGACGCCAAAAGCCAGATCAAAGAACAGGATGTTGAGATTGCCGTGCTCCAAGGCTTGTTGGAAGAGTCCCGTGCAGTAGCGGCCGGTGATGACGAGGATGATGATGAGATGGGCATGAACTCTGACTGAGCATGCTGCAAAGGACAATCCTGCATGAGTGCATTGTGGTTCCTTGCGTGGCTTCGTGCTGTCCAGTCGTTTGTGACATTCAACTCAATCATATCTGCATGCCAATGGTCTCACCATATCCTGGCGTATGTTAGAATATTCAAAACTAACTCTATGTTTAGCTTGGACACCCCGCTTTGTGTTATGACTTTCTCAAAAAGGTGCTGTCATAAAATACAAAATATTTCAGTAAATTATGAGAGGGGGTGGTGTAAAGTATTGCTCGTCTGACACGCTTGTCTGCAACAATTCTTGCACAGACATAGTCTGCTGGTCCAACTTCTGTCTGTACTGTGGACATTTTCTCTTCAAGTCTTTCTGTTGCCGCACATCTTGGATCTCCTTCACATTTGCCATGGCTGCTGCTGGTCTCCTGGATGATGCGATGACCAAATTCGGAGGCAAGGCTTGGTCCTTCTGCACTGTGGATTCTCCAGCATGCTTCACCAAAAATGAAGATGACATCGAGAAACCCATTACCATCTCCTCATTCATTGGTGCTGTCGGTCGCGGTCAAGAAGGACTCACCGAGACTATGAATATGCTTTTTTGACGCGCCTACCTACCAGAGTTCCCATTGAACCAAATAGATGAATGCATGAAGGATAAAGCCCCAATGAAGTTGCCTTGCAGCATCAGGCCAACGAGACCGTTGCCCACTGGATGCCGCTTGGGCCTGGTTGCTTACAACCGACAGGATGGCACAGTCGATGTCCTGAAAGTTCTGCACTTTGAAACACGGGTCCCCAAGGACGAGGCTTTGAGCCTTCGTGCTGGAACTCCCTCTTCGACCAGGTCCATGGGCTCTCAAAAACTCTCTCTTCGGATTGATTGACAGGCTACCTGGCTTCCATGTGGCTTGGTTTGCTCTCAAACCCAATGAGCAGGGAAGGGCGTCCGTCGTTCACAGTCGACTCAATGGGCGCCTGCGATTGAAGAGTTGTGGGCGGGCATTCAGTACATCAATGACAATGCACCAGAGTGTGAGGGAAAAAGAGTGCAGTACATGGCTCCCTTCATGCTTCCGCAAATCTTCCTCATCAACCCCAAATTCCACGTTCATCTTCTCTCAGCATTCGCTTGAACAATTATCAGGGGAAAAACGCTCACCTTCCTGGCCATGCCGCCCTCCAGTCATCTACGCTTCCAGCGTCTGTTAACCTGCACATCACCAACCCAAAGCAACGCACCTAAAAGATGCTAAAAGTAGGTACAACGGGGGGTAGCATATATATATATATATGTTACATATATATATATTATATATTATACATATGTATATTAGGTGATCACTCCCCAGCTCCATCCATGTCTTCTCAGAGGTCCCCTCCTCTCCGACTTGGCCGTTTCGGGGGTCATGCTCAGTGACGATGGGAAGGAGGCCCGGGCTGGATGGTCTCAGGTGTCGAGGTACATGAACGTTTGGATCACCAAGCTGAGTTGAGCTCACTTAGGTCAACTTGATGTTGAAATGGAGCCTCAAGCCATCTCAAAAGCCTCAAACGTACCATGTTCCAGCTCCAATGCTCACAATGTGGAAAACACTTGATACCCACTGCAAGTCAAACACCAAGCCTTGCCTGGAAGATACAAGTGGACTCCAGTTCCCACGTGGTCCCATGGGTATTTGCGATTGGACCCCGGATGTGAAGACCCATTTCTTTGTTTGTTTAGTGATGTTTGCAGCTTGCAGGTGCCACACTGGATGCTTCCATCTGTACTTGCACCAGTCCTGGATGCCAAGAACAAGATGAACATCGAGCTTCCTTGCTGGACCATTGGCTGTACGAGCGGCCTGACTGGAGGCGGACTGGCATTGGTGATGATTGTTAAGAGTCTGGGCCGCTTCAGCGGGGTTGGGGATTGTTCGCCGTGTGAGTTGAATTTGGGTGTTTTCAATTCAGGACCCTATGTACTACACCCCTTTCCTATGTTGTTTAACCCATGCAGTAATTATATACCTGTTTTTGCCCCCGCACACTCTAATATATCAACCCCGCGACCCTGTGGCCCTGCAGCGACCCTGTGGCCCAAATCCAGAAATTCGAAACTATATCGCAGGAAGCGAGGGCGAGACCATGGAAGAAGAAAGTCAGGGTAGACTGGGGTGAAGGGATTGGAAGGCAGGAGGCCGGACAATTTGATTGGAGTCTTGGAGAAAAACATGTCTACAGTACAGAAGTTGCGACAAGGTTAAGGTTAATTGATTAATGTTTGTGCTTTGGCGGGGTACCTTCGCCGGTGTTCCTCGACGGGAGACTCAAAGCGTTCCGCTACGTGCTTTTGTGGGGAGGCGCTGCACCCGCCTCTCGGCAAATTCCTCCCGCGCCCCGAAGTCTGCTATTATTAGCAAAGTAGCGTCCTTGCTCCGTTCGTAGCGATGCCTTTTGTTCCTAGTAGCGTCCTTGCTCCTAGGAGCCTTCGATTGTCTACCTCCGGTACCTGCCATGAAGTGTCGGCGTGTGTTTTTGTCGCTGCTCTGTTGCATGTCCGTCCCATCCCAACGTGGCTTCCCTCTAAAGCCGGATGGTAGGCAATAACCAGTTGAAATGCGGTTCAGACTTGCCATAGGCAACAAAGCGCGGACAGCCTTGAGGTGCAATTCGCAAGGGGATGCATTAAGTTGCACCTGAAGAGCGAGTATGGTCAGGTTCCCCAACCTGTAGTGAACCTCAAAAAGGGTTTTGTTGTCGAACTGTGTCGAGTTCCCCGTACACCCTTCGCTGATGTGATAGTTCCTGGTCTCACCGCGGCCCCGGATGTCTAGCCATCGACTCGGAGAGGCACGGGCCGCCCCACGGGGAGGAAAGCACAGCTAACCACATCAAGGTGAAGCTACTAGATGCTACTAGTGGCAAAGGGCATCGCTACTAGGAGCAAGGACGCTACTAGGGGGGTCCTGGCCTTACTACTAGGAGCAAGAACGCTACTAGTAACAAGAAGCTACTAGGGTGAATGATGCAGAACTAAATACACCATTGTTTTTAATGACCGTGCGATGTTTTGTTGAGGGCTTGTCGACCTCAATACGTTGAGGTATCCATAGTCTGAAGTATCCATGGTCGCCAGTCGTCAGTCTGAGAAAACGAAGGACGTCCTGAATCCGGCTTCCACCAGTCGTCTCCGCTGTCCGTGGAGTCCATTAAAAAGCACCGATGGACCGGAAGAGGACGGGGGGGGCGGTCTCTAGACCCGAGGCAGGCACCACTGTGGACGCCAATGCTGATCTTTCAGAGTTGGTCTGATCTATAGCCCAGACACGACTAATGGGACTGCCATATTTGCCGATCAGTTGGGGTGGTTTCAGGGGTCAATGGAAGTACGGCAGTCCCATTAGTCGTGTCTGGATAGAGGTCTCAGAGTAGATGGCACTGGCGCCCGAAGATGTCTTTTAAAGGGGGGTCCATAATGGTCCATATATCTACTCTGAAACCACTGCCCCTCCTTACTCTTGATGGAAGCAATCCGAAGGATTCCCGGACCGAACTCTTGGACTCGTGTGCCGTACCGTACCAAAATCCATCTCAAGTGCACCAAGAGCTTACGCCATACCATTTCAGAATCCTACCACTCGCATGATGAGAACCCGAAAAGAACAAAAACTGCACGTTCGTTTGGGCCGCGTTTGCACGAGGAACGAGGCGCGCTTGATCCGCCAGACGCTACAGAGTGTGCTCGAGGCCGCGGACCGCGCGGTGATCTTGGACACGGGTTCCACCGACGGGACGCAGGACGCGGAACCGCGGGATTCACCGGACGAAACGGATCCGTTGGATCCGTTGGATGGGCGATGTTGGGCGGTTTGGAGAAAGGGGAGAAGACCCAATGGCCCCTTGGAAGGTGGAGGGTGAGTGGGCTGATGTGGATAATTTCGAACGAGCCCATTCATCAGAATGATGCCTTCAGTAGGAACTGTGCCTGGCTGCAGGCGTAGCCCTCAATGTCGAGTTTTGATTTGTGAAGTGGGACTGAATTATTTATATTATGACAGGTTTCCAGATTCCACACAATTATTCGAAGACTTGTTTTGGGGGTCGGAGTGATAAACAACTTATTCTCCCGGAGCCGATTGTTCAAAAGGTGTATTTCTTTTGTGCTTTGCTCAGCTATTGGTTACCTTTGAGATCTTTGCTTAGCCTCTTCTGAGGTAAAACTTGATTCCCGGAACTCTGAACAGAGACCCTTTGTCAAAGCTCTCATTCAACTTCATCGAAATCATTGTCCCAAACACTTTATCAATGGGGTTTAAGTTGTTTTGTAAGATGGAAAAACGCTGAGGTTTGGAGCGCTTGCGAGGGAAACAGCACTCAGTCTGTTGAATTCCCAATAAATTATATAATCAAATAAACCCCTTATCATTGTCATTTCTTTTAATGTTGGTTTCGTTTGAACACGCATGCCAACTGATGGCAACTGAGAGCTGCGCATGCTGCCTACTACTACTACTACTACGACTACTACTACTACTACTACTACTACTACTACTACTACTACTACGACTACGACTACGACTACGACTACGACTACGACCACCACCACCACCACCACCACCACCACCACCACCACCAGGACCACCAAGTCTGAATGCCTGGTTGTGTTTGGGTTATTGTACTCAGGGTGCCTCAATGGTTTGCTGGGGCGGTTGAGATACTGAGGACCTGAGGACGCATTTTGTAATGTACTAGGTCTGACGTGCATCACAGGAGAAAAGGTTTGACTCGTGGAGAAAAGGACTCTTTAAGTCGCTCATAGGGCCATACATTATACGATAGCTGGCAGGGCAAGCCAACCAGCTGGGTAATTATAGAATATTATAGATACATTATACACTGTGACTCGTGACACTGATCTCTCACAGGAGATCCTGCGAGAGGCATGGAAAGGGGCCTGGGGGATGGGCTTGAAACTGTTGGAGTGAAGACTTGGTCGACAATGAGAGGGCCCATGTATAGGCGCAAGAGCTTGCATACCTTATAGACTTTTAGCAGATCAGCATCCTTTCCTGCCGGCGGTCTAGAAGAGTCTAGAATCCACGGTCCATCTCGCCCTTTGGCCTCTCAGGTGCTCCAGACTTCAACAGCTAAGCTGAACTCCCCCGCCTTGGAATCGGTTCCTGAGGTAAGCTCAAGAATAGGCTGTACACGAAGAAATCAATCAACTGCTCGCTGGCTTCAACCCTGCGGATCCACCCTTCTAGTTCTGTGTGAAGGAGCTCTGTCGCGGAAAATCGGCGTTAGATGAGTTGGTCATAGCAGGTTTTTCGATTGAGGTCGTAGATCAAAGTGGTTCTTCCAAACATAATGAGCCTCCAACAGTAAGCTCAACAGAGCAAGGATTTTCCTTTTCTCAGGTTTCCCAACAACAGAACTTCCCGCTGGAACTCTACGAAGAGCCCTTCGTGGACTTCGCAACCACCCGGAACCGTGCGCTGCAGCTGGCGGGGCAAAGCTCTGAGTTTCCTGGCAGCGCATGGAACTGCGCGGGGAACTGACGAGGACATCGTTGGTGGACTTCGATGGTAGGCACAAGCTGCGCAACTCAGTTTGTTGACAACGCCGATGGGAACCACCTAATGGTATAGAATGGTATAGTATTTTTGATTAAGTATAGAGTATAGCCGGATAGCCTCGCTACCAATTGTTTGCTCAGTTGAAGGATTATCATTTCAACGGCCTGCAGAAGTGCAAAGACAACTCAACAACAATGATTCCACCAGGATTCTAGCTTTGCCAACAACTCCCACAGCTGGGAGTGTTAAGTCAAGTGTTAAGTTAAGCTTCCCAACAAATCTAGGAGTCAAATCAGTGCGAACCTTTCTTCAGGGAAGCTCCCCGCGCCCTCAGGCGGGGGGAGCTTCGTTGAAGAAGCGTGAACTATCCTGCGTCCAGTTACTAGTAGAATGTAGCTAGGGGCTAATTTATCCCTTACTTGATTAAGTAGGCACCTATTTAATTAAGTAGGAGCGGGTTTGACACAATGAAAACATCATCACTCTCATGTGTCCCACAATTCCATCCACTCCATCCACCTCCCAGGTTTGTTTTGATGCTCAGTGGCGATGAGACACTGGTTCACGGCGCCCAGTTGCGGCGCTTCGTCACGCAACACAGTGGCTACTGCGGAGGCTCTGAGGACGTCAAAGCAGTCGAAGCTCTGTGGGGAAGGGCTGAAGGTCCATACTCCAGTATCACCCCAAATCCCGTGGACCCACAGCTATATGTGGGGGTCTAGAACTCCTGGCCGCTGTGCGGGAAGACCATTTCTCACAGACCAGGGGTCCAAATTTGTTTGGACAGTCCATGTTGTCCTGTAGAGTTCGGTCCGAACTGCGCTTTAAACTTAATTCGTTCTTCCGTCCTGTGGGCCGTAGTTGAATGACACAGGACCTGACAGCATGGAAGCTGGGAACATCATTAGATGAAGTAGAACCGTCGAATCCAAGTGTGTTTGGAGTCTTTCTGATCAGCCTGTTTCTACTCCTTCGAATGTGTGCAGCGTTGTTTTCCTATGCCGGTTTGGTGCCTTGGCTGCGGTTCGGAGGTGGTTCGATCCGGGGAGTTGATCAAGCATCAGGGGTTGATCGTGCGCACACGGTCTCCACATGGGTAGCCGTTTTGCTCATAGGGGGGGCCCCAGGGGGTTCTCCCCCTGTTTATTTCCCTTCCAGTCTGCACGGGAAAAATTCTCCCGTTCTACTGAGGTGAGTCCAGATCTGCACGGCTTGTTCGCTTGTTTCATTCTGGCTCAGGCTTTGAGAGTCACCAGCTGGCCGATGCAGCCCTTGGCTTCCAATCCTCACCCCACATTATATATAGTATTATATATATTATATATATAATGATCAGCAGTAATAGCAGTAAACATTATGAAACCTTTGACTCAATGACTGTAATCAGCAGACTCGGCCACTGCAGTCCTTTCATGAAGACATACGGCAGTGGTGGCCCCACCAATCCTCCCCACACATGTAATATCTATATAGGCAGCTTGACAAGTGAACATCATGCGGTTTCGACCGCTTGAAGGCATGAGTTCTTGAGCAAAGAATACACCCCATGAAGCTTCTCCTTGGGCATCTTTGGATTGGTCCTCACATCTCATGCCTGTCGCGCGTGAACTGTGGTGCTTGGCTTCTGGTGTCGTGCCCGAACGTTCGGGCATGACCAGAGAACGCTGCAGAGATGCCTCCGGTGATGCCATATGTGAAACTTGTTTGCAGGTGAGTTGATAAGCAGGTCTTTCCTACTAGTGGCTTATGGCATGATGCTACCTTCAAGACGCCGTCATTTCAATGCACAACCAGGCAATAAGCAACATGTCGATTCAATCCCAGAGTTGGTTTGTCCATGTCAATGTGTGCATCTAAGTTGCCATGTCGCACTGGCCGCCATGGCTCCCATTTGTCCTGAACATGTCCAGTTTGAGTTCCAGCGCCTGTCTCCCCGGTCTGGACCGCCCGGACCCCCTTGGCTCGTTGGCTCAGGAACCAGTTCACCGGAGATGCCTCGTTCTACCCTCCGCTCCGAAAAAAGGGGCGCAGCGAGCGGAGTGTCACACTCCATCGCCTCATGGTGTCTCCAGAGAACAGCATCGAGGCGCGGTGGCGACGGGTGCGACGGTGCGCTGCGCGATGATGCTTTTGGTGAAGAACACTGGTGGGTTTGTGTATACTGTAGTCAGCTGATCAGATAGACCTGGAAGGAGGAACACTTACTGTAGTGAATTCTAAGGAGGTCTTCCACACAAGCAAAAGAAGTTTCATGATTGACTTTGTAATAGTAGGTGGTGCATGGGGGGTTCGGGGCCTTTGGGGGTTGTGGATCATGGGCATATTGCTTCGTCCCGACTCCATGTCTTTGTTTGAGCAAATTTCAGGACTTGGTTTCTAAATGCCAGAATAAGTAGATATTATATGATATTATGTAGCAAAGATTGTGGACATGAAACATGTCTCTTCTGGGCAGCACTGACAGTTGAAGTCGCGAGTCACAGGTGTTTCTTAGATGGACAACATTTTGTAATTTACAATATAATAATTAGCTTCACAGGATTTTCGAGGAGATGCATATATCAACTGAAATACCGTTGTTGGTCCGGCTTCCTATGTATATGAATGCATGTTTCATTGTATGTTGATAGCTTTACTGTATATAAATAGATGAAGTCTCTGCCTTTTTGTCAACGACGCCGATACACCACGTGGTGCGTTCCAGGACTTGCTGCGCATCGTCTCGGAGAATCGGCCGTTTGACACGGACAACTTGGCCACGGCCATCCACAAACTCGCGAAGTTGAGGTGCGCTGGAGCACCATTCTGCATCTGGTTTTCTGACTGTGCGTCTCGCAGGGAATGAGGGAATGGATCCAATAGAATCTCCATTGGGGGCTCATTCCCTTGTTCCCTGCTAAGCACCAGTCAGGGTTTTTGTTCTTTTTCTTCTCCCGCAGCCAAACATAAAGCTAACAAACCACGCGAGGATTGGAGAGGAAACGGCCTAGCCTGAGAGTCCAGTGCTCATTTGACCCCGAGCTGGTGGTGGTGGATTAGGACTCCCGGGTGGAGTAAAATGAGTCACTGGAAGTTCTGGGATCAGTATGTGAAAACGGTGCATGTCTTCGGAAAGGAAACCCATTGTCAAAAGTCACTGTCATCTTCGACTCACTGTCTTCTGCAACATCTGGGAACCGATCCAGACCCATTCCCCCAAGATGGTCAACATGGTGCGTGTCATTCCTCTTTCTGATGAGTTGACCCGGTCCCTTTTCCTCTCTTTTCCTCAGTCCGGGCTACGTCGGCTTGCTTTGGCCCGTCGCGGACCGATGTCACCCACCTGTTGCTGCCAGACCGGTCTCACGAGACGCTCCATTCGTGTGCCGTTGTTTCCACCGGGAAGAGCTGGGCAGAGCGGTGAAGTGATTTTTTGGTCCACTTGTCCAAGCTTCTTCAATTCAACAGCTAGGGAAAGACCGTGACCGGACGACTGGGACGACTTCAAGAGTGAGCTATCCCAAAGTATGCTCAATTATTACAACCATCTCCATCTGTGCCATTTCCCATGTTTAACCTCATGCTTATATATGTTTATTACTTCTTATGTAATTCGGTTTGTGGCAAGTGAACCAAGCTGGGCCTGGCGACCGCTTCGAGCCAAGACCTTCCCTGACGCCGTCGCCTTCGCAGTCACCGGCGGTCGAGGCGAAATCAGAACGTGCCATATGAAGTCATCACGGAGGACTGCCCAGGGGCATCCGGCCTGTTTTTGAGGCGATGGGCTATGAGATGCTATGAGGGACGGTATACTCTTCTTCGGTTTGCAGCTGCTGTGAAGGCTGCTGTTGGGGTCACTGGTGTTCTCTTGTTCCTTGCTGTTTTCAGCGCTCTTCCTTGTTGCCCAGTCTGGACTCTTCAGACCTGAGATGCTTTGAGGTCCGGTTCAGGGCGAAGCCTTCATGCCCATCCGAAAGCCGTGACTGCCCAGATGTGAGGTGTTGATCACATGGGCAATGCATTGGGCAATGCATATGGCAACAGCCGGGCACGCAGGCATTGGAGGTCGTTTGCTGGGAGCTTGAGTCCCCCGGTGCTGCAGGATCCAAGATGGATGATGTTGATTCAGCAGGTTGTTGAGAACGGCACTGTGCCTTAGAGCCAACAGGATGGGTCTGAGAAGGAGGGTGGACAAATATGTCAACCATCAACATGCTTCACAGCATGGAGGATCACAGAAGAACACAGAAGAACAAAAAACATATTGCTGGTTCGCCCTCCCAGAATTATCCTTTCTTTTGCTTTGATCACTGGATCACAGGATGTATTGTGGAGCAAGATCGAGCAACCCAAAGTCATTTAGACAAGTATGTGTGCATCTTCAGCAGGGTCGGATTCTTCCGACGTGATACTTGTTTCCAAACGAGTTTGATCGAGGCAACATCATTTGATAATGGATGAACAGCTGCAGTTAAATTGATTTCACCTCTCAGTCAGAGTCAAGCATTGAGTATAACTTTTCTGCAAGTCTTGTAGCTCCCAGCCCAGCTTTTTAGTCAAATAGGCGTTGGTTCGGGGTTCATTCTGATCCGTAAGTGCAGTGAGTGTTCGCATAGTGTGCGCCGTTTTTTGGCCACTTGTTGGTTGATGTTTGTTGATTGTGAGATGTTCCTGAGGCTGTAGTGTCCAGCAATCCAGGAAAATATGGGTGATCCCCCTACGACTCGGTGTTTCTTCCCTTAGAGAGTCGTGTGTTGGAACGAGGGTCGTGTTCAACAAACCCGCTTAGCAAATGCCTTCAGATTCAAGAGCTCTAGCGGAGTGGTATTTTTTAATATCCATCAATGAAGGCATAGGTATCAAAAAAAAATAAAAAGAGCATCAACAAAAAAATAAAAACATGATAAAAATAAAAATAAAAAGCGAATCAAAAAATAAATATTCCTTGATAGGCCTCTTCTGCTGCTCTCCTGGCCTTGTGGTCTGCGGGTCCTCTGGTAATGTGGTCCCTTGGTCCTTTGGTCCCTTGGTCCTCTGGTCCACTGGTCCTTTGGTCCCCTGGTCCCTTGGTCCTTTAGTCCACTGGTCCCCTAGTCCTCCGGTCTCCTGGTCCTCTGGTCCTGTGGTCCGCTGGTCCCCTGGTATCCTAGTCCTTCTGTCTCCTGGTCCGCTGGTCTTTTGCTCTCCTACGGCGCTCGTCTGTCGATCTCCTGGTCCCCTGCTTGCGCAAATAGAGGCTTGATTGCTTTCTACTAGAGGCAGCTCCCTGGGAAGAAAGTAGGTACCCAACGATAAGGTCGCCGTCCAGTCATTGAGTAGCCCTACTCGAAAAATGGTTCACCAGTGGAAATAGCTCCCTACTAGGAGGGAGCTCCTGGGGAGGTACATTCTCCTAGGGAGGGGTATTTATTTTTGGATTTTTTTTGTTTCTTTTTTTGATTTTTGTTTGTTTTTCGTGGCTTCTGGCTTCTGGCTTCTGTGGCTTCTGGCTTTTGTGGCGTTTGGCTTCTGTGGCTTCTGGCTTTTGTGGCTTTTGGCTTTCGTGGCTTTCGTGGCTTCTGTGGCTTTTGGCTTTTTGGCCTATCCATCTATCTGTCTATACCTATCTATTTATCTATCTATCTTTCTTTCTTTCTTTTGGCAGCTGTTCTCCTTTCTCTTTTTGTATTTGCTTTTCCTGTTGTTTTCGTTGCAGAGACGAAACCAAACAAGGAAGCAAGCAAGCAAGCAAGCACGAGCTGCTCACCTTTGGATCTGGTGTGCTGCTGGGGGGGGCGCTGCGCCCCCCCC